ATCATGGGGAATACTACATCCAGCTGCCCAGCCATCCAACCAGGCCCAGCCAAGTTGACACACAAACTGAACTACCACAGCAGCCAAGCACATTAACCTTTTGTACTATCCAGGGACTCTGCCATGATAATAATGACCTGTAACTGAGGAGGGGGGTTTAAATTTTTATATCATTTAGGCTTTGTTATAAAAGTAATCAATAATCACTGTGGAAAATACAGAAATAAATACAGATGAAAATAAAAAATCACCTTAATCCCAGTATAAAGAAATGCTCTTCTGTTTTACTCATACATACAGGCATGTGCTCTATAGTGAAAACTTCATAAGGCAAACTAAACATAGTACAATGAATTGATTATGTTTGCATTACACTGATTTTTAACAGGATCCCAATTAGGAACCAGTACTCTGAAGATTTGTTAAAAAGCTGCTTAAGGTAAAGTACAGAAACACACAATAACTTTGTTGGTCTGGCTAGATTTCCTGTGGAGTATTATTTTACTGTCCACCACAGAGCTGGAAGGTCAAGGCCACAGGTGGTGGATGAAGGGGAAGCTCTGGGGTGAGTGATCTCAAAAGTATATGAGGAGACTTTGTTTAGTGTTTGACCATTTTGATCAAGAAGTTTATTGTTTTTTTTCTGGCAATAACAAAATAAACTTACAGCTATAGAAATACTTTTATTATTGAAATTATTACAGGAAGAATATGTTTATTACTGTGAGCCTAAATTTTTTTCAGCTTTTATCCCACTTGTTTCCCATTAAAATAACTGTTTCTGCAATATAGTATTTGCAACACATTTTCTTAAGAGTTCAACTATTGGAATATAGTAGAACAGGTTCGTTCACTTGTTCTTATACACACCCCCTCATATATGTTTATGTATGTGTATACACACAGATATATGCAGTTTAAAAAATAAAATTAGGATCATACTATACATATAATTTTATATTCTTAATAGCACATTGTAGATTCCCCAAAGCATCAAATATTCTTAAAAATATGATTTTTTAATGGCTTTCTAAAGTACTCAATATATGGATGTGTTGTTGTTGTTAGGTGCTGTTGAATTGTTCCCAACTCACAGTGACCCATGTACAACAGAACAAAACACTGCCCAGTCCTGTGCCAGCCTCACAATCACTGCCATGCTTGAGCCCACTGCTGCAGCCACTGTGTCAATCCATCTCATTTTTACTCCCAAGAACAGTATTTATTGTAAGACCCTCTACTTCACCAAGCATGATATCCTTCTCCAGGGACTGGTCTCTTCTGATAACATGAGCAAAGTAGGTAAGATGAAGTCTGGTCATTCTTGCTTCTAAGGAGCATTTTGGCTGTACTTCTTCCAGGATAGATTTGATCATTCTTCTGGCAGGCTACGGTATTTTCAATATTCTTCACCAACACCATAATTCAATTGCATCAACTCTTCTTCATCCTTCTTTATTCATTGTCCAGCTTTCACATGCATATGAGGTGATTAAAAATAGCATGGCTTGGGTCAGGTGCACTTTAGTCTTCAAAGTGACATCTTTGCTTTTTAACACTGGAAAGAGACCTTTTACAGCAGATTTGCCTGATACAATACATCACTTGGTTTCTTGACTGCTGGTTCCATGGGTGTTGACTATGGATTCGAGTAAAATGAAGTCCTTGACAACTTCTATCTTTTCTTCATTGCAAATACCTTTTTCATATGTCTGTAACATACTTTTTTTTATCTACTTCCCTATTCAGTACTTCAAGTTGCTTTTTTTTCCTATCATAAAAATACTGTAATGAACAATGTAGTATAGGATTTGGTCCACATCTCTTATTATTTTCTTACAATAAATACTGGAATTTGAGTTACCATCATGATGTTTTTATGAGTACTATTGATAGTGTATATAAGCCTCCAGAGGACAGTGCTTCTCACATATTGAGCATTCAATAACTGGCAGCTATAAAAGGGAAATCAAATAAGAGAACAGACCAATTCTATCACAGCAAAGAGTTAGGACAGAAATCGGCTCCACTTGGTCAGGGGATGATGTCGCTGGACAGTTTGGGGAAAAGGGTGTGTGTGAAAAAAGATGGAAGGATGGGGTCATTTTTACTCCCAAGAACAGATGGACCTGCAGATATCTAGAATGAAATTATTCTCCACTTTAAACCTAAGACTATACCACGACTCACCCTGATACCCTTTCCAGATATGTTCCTTTATAGTCCTTAAAGACCTGCTGTGAGCACATTTAGCTTAATCAGGTGAAGACAAGGAAGACTGAATGACACTGATTACATGCTTGATAAAGGACCTTCATGCAGTTGAAACTGTGATCATGGAACAAACAACATAAATCATGGTGTTGTCAAAGATTATTTATTAACTATTCTCACTTATGTTGAAAAGAAGTAAAAAAGTAAATTTAAATGACACAAAATAACATAAACATCCAACAGTATTTCTTCCTCGAAGGACCTCAGCTGGACTACACAAAATGGACCACCAAAAAGAAGACACCAAGAAAAGACACTCGAATTTCTACTAAGGTATAGGGTCGACCTGGTGCAATAGGAAAATAACCAAAACCAAAAAAACCAAACTCACTGTCATCAAGTCGATTCCTTCTCACAGTAACTCCCTTTGGGTTTCTGAGGCAATGATTCCTTACAAAAGTAGACTGCCCAGTCTTCCTTCCACGGAGTGGCTGGTAGGTTTGAACCACCAACCTTCTGGTTACCAGTCAAATGCCTTAGGCACTACACCAACAGAGGTCCTATGAAAGTAAAAAGGATGATTTTTCAAACACAGAGACTAGAATGCTGACATGCCTATGAGTGAAACCCTCTTCCAAGGCCACGTGGTTGCAATTATGGATTGCTTGGGCCCCTCTGTGGGATGAGCCTTCCCAGCCCAAAGAATTCTATTACATGTAGTTAGTGGGGTAGGTTTGATTTCTCAACACAGACAGGTCAACTGAAGCCAGCTTATGTGAATAAGGGGCAGTAGAGTTCTGGGATGCAGTTGAGGGATAAAAGAAAAACTGTGAATCCTAAAATAATGACAACAGTTTTCTTATGTGGGCTACAAGCTGGCCCTGAAGACCCTTCTAAGATGGGGCAGTTTTCAAACCTACATCAAACAACATGAGCCTCTTGGGAGTAAGCATACAGCCTTCTAGGATGTCATGTGAAAGATAGCATTGGTTTGGACTCTTAAGCTCTGGGCTGGCTGTCAAAACCTTGTCTCTCTTAATTAGAATTCACTGAGAGCTATAGCAGTAGTGTTTGTTGTTTCTTGCAAAAAGGATGGAAGCCTGTCAATTTAATTTAGGTTTATATTTGGTTCAAGAAAGGTTGGTTCTTTACAAGGTTTTCATTCCTTGGGGACTGAAGGCAAGGGGTATAATTTTCTTTCCTTCTTTTGCTTCATATGCATTGTCTTCTGGCTCACTGGAGGATGTGCCATTAACCATCCTTCATGATGCCTCATCCCCTGGAGTAAAAAGATCTCAAGGACCAGCAATCTGGAGGCCAGCCCTCACTGGGTGACCCCAGGACAGTGGTCCCTGGAGTAGGATGTCTACAGCACCTGGGTCACAAAGGACGTCCCTGAAGTGTCTCTGCAGGAATTCAGACACTGCCCTGAGGGCCTGTCCCAGAAGTGGCCCTTTCCTTCCCACAGATCCAGAGGACCCGAGGGTATGGCAGGCAAGGATGCACTAGTCCTCTGGGATAGGGGTATTGCAGTTCCCATGGTAGATCTTGATGTGGCCCTCACACCGGAAGTAGGCCTCGAAGATATCACTGTAGCCATGGTCCCTCCACCAGGTGCAAAGCTGCCGGTTCCAGGTACAGTCCAGCACATGGAAGAGCTCAGGGTGTTCCATGCCGATCATGGTGAAGAAGTCCTGGTCCCCAAGGTGGCCACGGAAATGGTACTTGTTGGCGAGCTGCTGCACTTGTGCTGGCTCCAGCAGATGGCTGTAGAGTGCGGACTGGCGCATGGCCTCCAGGTTCAGCAGCATCACCCCACTGTTGAAGCCAGGAAGCCCATCAGGGGGAGGGCCCCCAACCCGGGTCTTGGGATTCTCGTTGCGGAACTGCCAGAATGTATGCCTAGAAGGAGAGAGAGAACAGATTAGCTCAGTTTTGGGGGGCAAAGTTGTTTACCAGGCCCTTATTTCACTGGGTCTTCACAACTACCTTGGAAGGAGATACCATTTTTACCTTAACTTTACAGCTAAGGAAACTGGGGCACTCTGAGGTTCAGAATCTGCATCACACTACTAGTCAGTGACAGGTCTCCTTGATTCCTTTGCTTTTTCAGCATAAGGATGACGACAGTATCATCACTATCATCACCATCATCATAGCTAACACCGTATAAACTTATGATACACCAGGCACTATACTAAATCAACTTATTCAATCCTCACAATAACCTTATGTGACGGGTACTCTGTGAAATGATATATCCTTTCACACATGAGGAAATGAATGCGAAGAGAGGTTAAGTAACTTGCCCAAAGTCATACAACCAGTAAGAAACAGACCAAATGTAAAACCAAACCTACTGCCATCAAGTCGATTCCAACTCCCAGTGACGCTAAAAGACAGAGCAGGACTGCCTCATTGGGTTTCCAAGACTATAAATCTTTATGGAAGCAGACTGCTCCACTTTCTCCTGCCGAGTAGCTGTTGGGTTCGAACCACTGGCCCTTTGGTTAGCAGTCAAATGCTTTAACCACTACACCACCAGAGCTCCTTTGTAAGTAAAAGCAGGCAATGTGGCTCCAGAATCCATGCTCTTAAGACAGCAGCAAACTAGGTAGTACTTTCTACCACTTGCATTTGTCTGTGACCTTGAAAAGAAACAGGAAAATGGGGGAAGGAATTCCGAATGGTGGTGTGGTAAAGATACAGGAACAGGTGAAAACAGGTTGAAACAAAACCATTTTCTGTCTTAGAATGAGCCTCATTCGTTAAGACCCCAGGCCTAACATTTCTAAAAGGTAGGGCAAGGTCTGGAGACTGGCAACAGCTCAAGGCACACACCTACAGGCTGGAGTTAGAAGCAGCTTACAAAAGGCAAATAGAATTTTGGCTATTTTAGAAGGAATGTCACCTTAATTTCAATTTCTGTATAGAAATCCAATGTAGGTTCACAAACCATGGGATGTGAGAGCCAAAGGAAGGCTCCTAGATCCTTTATCCAAATGCTTCCATTTGCAGAGGAAAAACTGATTCAGAAACCTCCTGGTGTTGACCTGGTTGGAGCGCTGGTCATTCTGTTCCTCTACTCTTTACTATGATGTTCTTTTGTGTGCTGCGGGTGATGGGCAGTAGCAGGGGTCAAAATCCACACTCTGCTTTGAAGTCACAGCAGGGGTGCCTGTGTCTTGGAGGAAGAAGGGAGGATAGGAAGGCCCTCTGTTTCTACTCTTCAGCAAGCTGGGGGCTGAGAGGCAAAGAGCCTCAGACCTGGGGCATCATTACCCATCTCAGCAGGGGGGCTCCTCCAGAGTCAGAGGTAAGCATGACCTGGCACCCAACTCGCTGGGCTGAGGGAGGGAGGGGGCAGAGGCAGACAGGGGACAGAACATCCTTCTGGGTGGAGATCTTTGGGAACATAATGCGCTGCACCGTCAACTTAATCAGATCGAAGAGTGAGAACCAAAGAACCAGAAAGAACCAGGTCTGGGGCATGAATATGTTTTGATTGTGAGAAGCAGAGAAGGGGCAGGAAACTGGAACTGTAAGCTGCCCAGTGTGACTGCTGAAGCAGAAACACAGGCTGAACCAGTGATTCTCTAAAAACAAAATCATTTCCAGGGTGCCCTTGTTCAAAGCTCTCCTAGTATCCTGCAATGGATTGGAAAAACAGCAGCTACTTATGGGAATGGAGGGGTTCTCTGGCCTCCACCACAGCTGGGTGCTCTTGGAGTAAACACGCTAGCCTCGGCCTAGAGAGAGTTCTATAAGGGATGTGAAAGTGATTACAGCTCAAGTAAGGGGTTCTGTGGTTGTTAAATTTGTATGTCAACTTGGCTGGGCCTGGTTGAATGGCTGGGCAGCTGATGGTAGTTATTCCCCATGATGAGACTGGCAATTACCTCCATAGTGGGACCTACCACAAGTAGTAGCTAAGCAGCTGCTTTAGAGATGTGGTCTGCTTCTGTATATAAGAAATAGCTTTGGGAATGATCTCTAGCTTATGGCACACTTGAACCCTGCATATAGCTGTGTTGTTGTTCAGCAGCCTGCCATGCTCTGCTGACCCTAGGACTTTCAATGGACTTGAATTAATAATGGCCTGCCATGTGGTTTGGTAATGTTGGTACTGTGCCATTTTATTTGTTGACTTTGGGCTTGCTAGCCTCAGCAGCCAGTAGCTGCCTGAGTGAAGAGATGCCTCTAGCTTCAGTGGGCCGGGAGCAAGAGGCAGAGCTGAAGCCCACCCAAGGTCATGGGGCTTTCACACAGACCCTAGAGCCTGGCACTTTGAATTCGGACTCCTAGCCTCCTGAACTTTAAGAGAAAAACTCTTGTTTTTTCAAGCCATACCATTTGTGGTATATTCTTGTCAGAGTTGTTGTTGTTGTTATGTGCCGTCGAGTCAAACCCGACTCATAGTGACCCCTCCTTGGGTTTCCAAGGCAGTTATCACTACGGAAGTAGGATTGCCCAACCTTCCTTCCGAGGAGTGGCTGGTGGGTTTGAACCGCCAGCTCTCTGGTTAGCAGGCAAGTGTCTTAGCCACTATGCTACCAGAGCTCCCTCTTGTCAGAGTAGCACTAGGTAACCAAGACAGGCTCTCATCCCATCGTAAAGTAGACTAACTAGATGGTACCACCGTTTCCTCATATGCCATAACATGGTGTGGTTTGCAAAGCCCTCTTACATCCAATACCTCAGTGCCTTCCCTCAGGCAGCCCAGAGGCATTATTATCTCCATTTTAAAAGAAAAGGAGCAAAGGTCCTCAGCGTGTTGGTGCAGGGCCCAAACTCCATCCTAGGGCTTCTAAACTCTAAGGTCCCTTTCACCACTGGCCACCTCACATTCCATGGGTTGATGTTCCAAACAGCATTAGGATTTAATTCTTACCTCTGAATTTGGATGGCATACCCCAAGACCAGGGCCACTGAGGATCAAGTGATGCAGCTACTGCTGGCATTCAATGAATTGAGGCTTAGACCCAAGAGCTGTTTTGAGATAGTCAGTGAGGGCCCCAGACCCTAGCCCTCCCGTGCAGAGCCCAGGGCTTGACCATATATATTCACAGACCCCTGCAGTGGCACATGATGGGGTTGTAGAAAACTTTTGCATGAATCTACGAATCTGGTTTTGAGTCCTGGGGCTTCCAGAAGTTTCTCTGATTAACATCACATGCTTATAACAGCCACATTACTGTGCCTAACTGTCCGGATTTGGGCCTGTGCAGGATCTTGTTCCCATTCGCCATGGTCACCTGGAGATCGACACTAGAGGGTTAAAATTTCTTCTCCCCTGAGAAATAATTTCAACTGAGAAACATGTCCCCATACAGACAGTCTGTTGTAAATACTGAGTCCTTTCAGATGTCAGCAAGGTCTACTGGGAAAACAAAAATTAAGAATTCTTAAGCATATTCTTCCAGTTATGGATGATAAATTTTCTAAATTTTTTATATCGAGTATGTTGTAATTTGTAAGCTTAAGAAAGACTATTAAAAATGCTAGAGCTCATGAAGGAAATCCATTTTAATGGAAAGAGACATTTGAAATCATTTTAAAGACAAAGTCCCTTCCACCCTGAGTCTTCCCCTGTGATCACTGCCAAGGTTACTTCACAGGGTTCTCAGCTAGAGACACCCTGGCCAGAGAACCTAAAGCTCACACAGGAAAAAACACACAATGCCTCTTCTTGGTGGCACAGTGGATAAAGCTTTTGGATGCTAACTAGAAGGTCGGCAGTTCAAACCCACCAGCTGCTCTATAGAAGGAAGATGAAGCAATCTACTTCTGTAGAGATTTACAGCCTTGGAAACCCAATGGGGGTCTCTATGAGTTAGAATTGACTTGATGGCAGTGGGTTTTGGTTTTTGGTCCTCTCCCCACCACCCCAAATCACAGGCCCTTTAGCCTTCCTGCCTCTTCATGATCTTCTCTCCTGGGTTGGCCTCCCTCAGAGTTCTCCATTTTGACTTCCAAAGGGAAACACACAGTGAACCTGGAGAGTCTGCACAAGGCTCCCCTGGAAGGTTCTAAAAGCCTGTACTGACCTAGAGGCTAAGTTCAAGCTGTAGATGTTGGGCAAAGAAGGCTTCATTTTAGGCAGAAGATGTCAAAGATGACATTACATGCTGCAAGTCTCCTCACCATGGTCAGCCCACGAATGCTCGTCAGAGCTCAGTGCAAAGTCATTGATAAGCCAGCATGGTTGGACCTCTTCCAGGAGGAAGCATGCTATCAGGATGTTGGTCTAATCAGCAGGGCTGGATCAGGAAGCATCATTTCTCTATGCCACACTATGTACCAGGCCCAGTTAGCCCTTGTTTGACTTGCAAGGGACCCTGCTTTCAGTCCTCTAAGAAGAAAGGCCAGGGGTGTTGGTAGCAGCCCAGTGTTCCATGCACCTCACCAGGTCCTGTAGGATAACTTGGAGATGGTTCTGGCCCAGAGGATTCTGATAAACACTCTGTTGCCCTGGCTGGGTGACATGGGACTATCCTCAGACCAATGACACTGTATTTCAGTCCTCCCTAAAGCTGAAGCTGGAGTTCTGTGGGACAGGTGCTGTCCTTAAGCTCCTTATGGGGACGAATGCCAAATGGTATCAAACTGGAGTTGTGGGGCCACCTGCAAAGCTTTAAACCACCCTTTCCCTAATGCATTATTTGTTGCCAAGAGTCACCACTGACCTCCCAATAGCAAGGTCTGAAGTAGGTTTAGGTCTCTAGCCTTGCTGGACATTTTAACAAGATCCCCAGGCAATTCTTAAAGATCTTGTGAAAATGTAGATTCTGATTCAGTATACCTGGGGTAAAATGCAAATTCCTAGGAGTGGGGGAGGTCAAATCAGAAAGACTTGGTTCAAAGCCCTGCCTGAAACTCAGGTCAGCAACTGAGATTGCAAA